ATTACGAAATAAATATAAGTTATGCTTTCTTCATTCTAGAATGGCTACAAATTATAAAACAAAAACACAAATGTTTAGTCTAAATAGCTTAAATCTCATAACATTATACATTTATATATACTTATTAATTTTATTATATTGACCTTCCAGTCGTACCTGGTTAAAAATACAGAAGTTACAATTATGCAGCTCATGTGCACTCATGTTACTGTATCCAATGATATAAAACTGGTAATATAATATAAACTGATATAATATAAACTTAGTCTTTACAAAGTGACCTATCTTGGCTGTGTTTTAGTGGACTAGTATTATTTTAATTACAGTCACATTTCAATTATTATTCATTATATACGTATATAAGTTATTACTATTTACAAACAAGTTCTTAAACTTATTTTTCTTAAAACATAGAACAGTAAATAAAGAAGTAAAGCAAACAATTATCTCATTATCTCTTCTTGTTACAACATTTGTACTCGGTTGCTGCTTCTCGTAGCTTGCTAAGTCGTAAGTAATTTTGCACATCGAGGATGTGAAACAAAATAATTTTTTTTAGGTTTTATATATACATTTGAATGACCAAAAAATCATAAATTACTATATTGATACTATAAAATTCCATTATAATTTATCATATTTAGTAACTAAGCTGTATTTTGGTCTAAAACAATATGAAATTTCGAGGAGACTAAAGACACAACCTACCTCCTTGAAATCTTGGTTTGAAAGAATGAGATGGTATCCTAACACTTTAAAATGGCTGGGAAAGCCACTAGAAGAACATTCTGAGCTTTCAATTGGTTATTCACATGTCATATATTGAAGTAAGTTATAAGGAACTGTTTCCAAAAATGGAAAGATGTGAGTGGGGCCACTGTGTTTGATTCAGTTCATGAGCAGCATCTCAGCAAATAGAAAAGATAGGAGGTTCTTATTTTATATTCTAGCTTGTTAATATCGGTAATTTGAGTTCTTTATTCATACATAACTATAGACTTTGTATTTTGATATCACAAACATCTAATTTGAACCAGTGCTGCATTAAACATACCACATGACACACACAAAAATCTAGGTTTAAGTGTTTCTTTAATATTTACTTTTAAATTAAGAAATTGAATAATGTATAATACTAAAATGTGAATTATAATCCACAGTTTGATACCAAAATTATTGATATAAATACATAAAATAGTAGTTCAATAAAATTTTGAATGCAAGTCAACAAACACGATGACATGGCCTTTGACCCATGACCCATAGCAACAGGGTCAAAGAAGGGATGTTAAGGAATGTCATAAGAAAACAGCCACAAACAAAAACAAAAAACTAAATTAAAAGATCTAAATTTGTACTGTGCTTCCATCACATAAATATTTAGAAATCACTATTAATAATTGTATAAGAGTACATAAACATAATGAAAAACATTCCACTCCTAATGAGTATTGTATAGTTTTAAACTATCACATAAAACATTAAAAATGGATAATTTTTTATGCAGTGAGGAAATTTTATTTATACACCTACTGAATAAAGAATTATGTCACAGTAAAGTGAAGAACTTTTTATAAGACAATTGTTGGACTGAGAATAGTTTAGTATAATCAAGAGATATTCCAAAAACTGTTACAAGATTCTCAGGATGTATTACATTTTACTAATATCTGTTATATATTTTACACTTTTATGCCTTACAATTGTCTAAAAGAACATAAAAACTAAGATATCTATTTTATGATATCAGATGAAAAACTAGCAAACATGCATATTTATGCTCATAAATAGAAAACAATAATTTTGTTTTTAAGTAAAATCTATATTCCACTATAATATTGTGATTGTATTGAATCACAAAGACATGATGATAAAAAAATTTTGCAACTAATTAGTAACCTGCATTAGAACCAATTAATTATAAACTGAAATGTTCATCCTTTCTATAGCCACCTTCATTATTAAACTAACCACAGCTCACCTGACAATGAAAGCAGATTTTTGTCCCAAATAGCTCATTTCTGCTTTTCTTCCTATTGCATATTTTACATAGAGATGAACTACCTTGAAAAATTAAATAAAATAAAAAGTTCACATATTTCATAAGATTTTAAACTTTGTCCTCCATAAAAACTTGTGTAATTTTTAAAATATATATATACATAATGGGATACTCTGCTTACTTGTATCGTGATGTAAAACTATTTCTAATTATTATAAAGTGAAGAAAGAAGCAAATCATTATTTGGAAAAATATAAATTCAAATTGTTGAATCTACCAATATAGTCCTGAAAATTCATTACAGAAATAAATTCTGTTCATACCCTCATCTGTATACCTTTTCCATTTAAAACAAAGCTTAATGTTATCCAAACCTTTAACACATACATGCAAGTTCCAAAATAGGGTAGTATAACATACAAGATAAACCTTTAACATATACACGAAAGATATGTAGAGTAGTATAACATACAAGACACACCAATACTATATATATAAGAAAGTTCCATCATATGGTAGTATGACATAAATTTCATTTGTAAGCAAACTTGTAATTGTTTTTCAAAAATATTTTTCAAATTGAAAGATATGTCCTACATCAAAAAACAACACTATGAACAAAACAGGTAAAATAACTCAAGTATTAAAACAATAAAAAACAGCTTTCTCTGTTGCATATTAAAGGTCAAAAGGAAATTAATTTAGCATATTTTGAAACCTCCTATACTTACTTCTTGAAGACTTTCTAAAAATGTTTTCATTAGCTTTTATCCTGATATTTTGCTTTCCAACACTAATGGCATTCAAAACTATACAGTTATTTCTTAAAGACCTTGTGCAGAGCCGTAGTTTTTGTTCAATTTGTTTCATAATTGGTTCTGCAGACAAGAAGAGATAGCAGCATTTAATATAGATTTAAGAAAAGAAGTCACAAACTTCATCCTAAACAAGAAAGGAAGTAAAAAATAAACATTTAGATTTATATCATAAATATATATAATTGTTCAAACTTGTATCCAGTGGCTTGCATGATTTACATTAACCTTTCAGCACAGGCTCAGTCCCTGGGACCAGCCTTGTAACCATTTTGTGCTTGTTACAGTTTTCATTTTTAGAATTTGTACCCAGCAACTTACATGATGTACATTAACTCTTTCAGCACGAGCTCGGACCCTGGGACTGACCTTGTAACCATTTTGTGCTTGTTATAGTTTTCATGCTATAACTTTTACATTGGTAATCATATGTTCATGAAATTTGGCAGATTATCAGTAAACATTACAAGGCTTTCATACACAAAATATCTTTTTTTTAAGTCTTAAGGCTTGTTAAGCAATGTTTTTCTCATTCCTTTTTTCTTTTCACATGTTGCCTATAGAATATGCAAAATAATTTTCATTTTAAAATTAAAAATACTTTTATGCATAAAAAAAGTTTAAAATTTTGCATGTAAAAATCTTTATAATGTCCAGATAGTTATGAAATGTTTATTAAGAAAAAAGTTTATATTTTATCTGATATTTTCACTAATAAATCTCTATATGGGTTTGGTCGATTTGCCCGATCTTGTAACCACCATAAATAATTAGGAAATAAATAGTATTAAACCTTTTTTGTTCTAGAATGACTACAAATTATAACAGGAAAACATAAATGTTTAGACTAAATAGCTTAAATCCCATAACATTATACATTTATATATATTTATTGTTATATTATATTGATCTTCCAGCCATGTCTGGCTAACAATACAGAAGTTACAATGATGTGGCAAACGTGCTCTCAAATATTATAAAATGACTTGTGTTGGCTGTGTTTTAGTGGACTAGTATTTTGTTAAGTTCAGTCACATTTTAATTATTATATATTATATATGTATATACATTATTACTATTTACAAACAAGTTCTTAAACTTATTTTTTTTAAAACATTATACAGTAAATAAAGAAGTAAAGCAAACAGTTATCTCTTCTAGTTATGACCTTTGTATTCATTTGCTGCTTGCCATAGGTTGCTAAGCCTTATAAAATTTCGAACATAGAGGATGCTAAACAAAATTTTTTTTGTTTTATATATATATATTTGAAATAGCCAAAAAATCATAAATTACTATTCTGATACCATAAAATTCCACCATAATTTATCAAGCTTAGTAACTAAGATGTATTTTAGTCTAAAAAAATATGAAATTTCGAGCAGACTTACCAGCTTGAAGCTTTGTATGGAAAGAACGAGATGATGTTGTAATACTTGAAAATGGCTGAGAAAACCACTAGGGGATTTTCTGAGCTTTCAATTGGTTATTCACACATTACAGACAGAAAAAGGTGTACATAAGCAAGTATTTCCTAAAATAGAAAGAGGTGAGCAAGGCCACTGTTTTTGATTTAGTACAAGAGCAATATCTCAGCAAATTTAAAAGATAGGAGGTTCTTATTTTATATTCTAGCTTGTCAATATTGGTAATTTGAGTTCTGAATTCGTACAAAAACTACAGACATTGGATCTTGACATCACAAACATCTATTTTGAACCAGTGCTGTACTCAACATACCATGTGACACACACAAAGCTGTGTGTAATTCTGTTTTTTAATATTTACTTTTAACCTTCTCTCCCTGAGTACCCTTTACTGTGCATGACACAAGGTTTTAGTGTCTTATATTCAAAATTTTATTAAACTACTTTTTGTTTATGTTATACCAATTAGAATAGCATAAAATCTTAGCTAATAATCCATATTTTAATAGTATATAAGTTTTAAGTTCTTAATTCTATAAGGATATATATTAAAAAATCCTGAATTTCCACAAGTATGAAATGTGACACATTTTGTCTTAGCATGCCATCGTCCCTATTTTATCCATCACCCCTTGAAAATGTACAAAATTAAACATAAAATACTCTCTATAAAATTGTTATTGCTCAAACAGACCATAATTTTTGTATCCTTCATTTTTGTTTAGTTACAGAGCTATCAAGTAGAAAATCAGACCCCTCCTGCCACACTCACCTGTCACATCCTCGCTTTCACAATTCATTGATAGTTTTCTCTTATGTTTCATTATACATTACCGATAACCAATAGAAAGTCAAGGTTTTCAGCTATCAAATGACGTATTGTATAATGTTGTGTTCTGAACAGATAATTGTCAATTTCACTTGGAGAAG